TATTTAATATATATATATATATATATATATATATATATATTGGAAATCCCTTTATAATTATGATATATTGTCAAATCCACTGTCCATGCATGTTTCCCACGCTTTCTAATGCCAAATGTTGCTGCTGTAATACACATACAGAACAATTAAAATAAATGTTAGTTTCATTCATGAACTTTTCTGCCAGGATTAGGCTATAAATTTTCTTCATGAGAGATTATATTAGCTAATATCTATTAAGATATGAGAAAAACAGTATAGAAAATGTGATAAAAGATTGAAATAAAATATCAATCAGTCTTGATTCTGATCTGGTGATGAAGTCTCATATGTATTCATGAGTAATATAGCAATCAACAAGTACCACATATCATAAACAAGCTTATATTAAAGCGATTTTTTAAGGTAACATATACACTTTTTATTCATTTTAATTTTATGATATCTTAGCTATTTTTTTTAAAAAAATCTGTATTTTATAAATTTCAACTGATTTGATTGCTTCTAAGTTTATAAGACATAAGTTTGTGTTATTATATTTTTTTATATGAAAACTATAAAATTCAATTTGTTCTTTAACTACAAATGACAGCAAAATGCACACCTAACAAATTAAAATAAAATATAATAAAAAAAGAAGCTAATATGTATCAATTTTTTTCCTGTTGATCTGTGTTCACAAAAAGTTCACAATGTTTAAGATCCTTTTCAGTAACCATCATCTGGATTTGGATACAATAGTATTCGTGAATATATATATATATATATATATATAAAGTACTTTTATTCTAAAAAATAGCATTATTATGATTATGATAACAGATATGTTAATAGAATCAAGTGAGAATAATTAATTATGATTTCAACTTATGATGTAAAGACTAATTAAGTTTTCATCGTATAGAATGTGAGAAAAACCTACATACATTTCTCTTGAACATCCTGTGCACTTCCACCTGTGGCACAAAGAAGACAAGGTTTGAGGAAACTTGTTTTCTGTGTTTGATAACCAATAATGAATCTGTGATAAGTGTAATCATTAAAATATCATTGCCTTTTTCTCACGGACACCATTGAGGCCATTTTCAAGGGCATCCTCTAGAGCCATCAGTTCCTTGTAATTCAGTGACGTAATGTCTTCCCCTTTCAAGTGCCTGAATATAAATATATATAAATATATATAGATACACTTGATCTGAAATAATTAAGAGACGACGTTGGATATATATAATCAAGGTGCAATAGTTAATGTTTACATTTATACCTGAGCTCAATTTGCATGCTGTCATTCTCTTTTTTGAGTCTATCAATTTCATTGCTGAGGTTCTGCAGTGAGTTCAACAACAATATTATGTAAAATCCGAACATACATATATTATGTCCCTAGTCTCACCCCAGAAAGAAAGACAAAAATGGAACTGAAAGGAAAATTTATCAAATAAATGAACATTATTTGCAGTAGATCTGGGTCTAGCTAGTGGCTGGTTTGAATGTCAGTGAAGAAACGTGTAGTCAAGAGAGAGATCCATCGACCGAGTACTCCCTAGCTAGGAAGAGACATTTGTCACATCTTTGTTCCTAACCCCTACAAACAACTCTTGTATACCATTCAGCTTTTGAAACTTTTGCAAAGAAAAGGAATTAGGGGAGTTCATAATATTGTTTTATAGTCAGATCTGTTCATATAGACACATACCTATTCTCACTACTCTTGCCTACGTGTTCCAAATCTAGATCTAACCACAGAATCACCGGTTCCTGGAACTGAACATATTCTAAGAAAAACAACTACATATATATGCATGTTTTCCTTTGAGGCAAATCAAACAAAAAGTACTAGTTTGTTCTTCGTGTTTTATTTTTCAAAGAAAAAAAAACCTAGCTACCTCATGCTTGGCGTCCCAGAGGGTCTTCCCAGAGGCTCTTTGGTATCTGTCTAGGATGTCAATCAGCCTTAACCAATGAAAAGATCCAAGTTAAACCAGAAAGAAAAATAGATGAGAGTTTTGCACTGTTCTTGATGAAACAAAATGAAAACCAGGAATCTAGAAAAGCAAAAGTTTAGCCAAAAGGAAGATGAAGAAGTGAAAGAAGTCCTTATATAATTACGTGGTGGAGGGGCTGATGTATTCGTGCATCTTTCCAGAGGCACCAAAGATGATAAGGGAAACTTGAGCATCGCATAGAACACTAATTTCCTTTGCCTTCTTAAGGATCCCATTCTTCCTCTTTGAATATGTAACTTGCCTGTTGCTCGAGTTCTCAATCCTTTTGATCTCAATCTTTCCCCTCCCCATCTCTCACAAACTCACAACCTTTCTCTTCTTACCTTCTCCTTTATTTTCTATGTATTCCTTTTGTTTCTTATAACTTCAGTGAATGAAGAAGTGGGGAGATAAAGAGGGTATATAACAAGCACCAAGAAAAGTAATACCGGAACATTCCATTATGGGTTTGTGGATGAACAACTTTCTGAGTGGCACAGAAAGGAAGTGTTTGTTTAAGGGTTTGTGACAAAGCCAATTCAACTGCATGCCTTTATTTCACGTTTATTAATCTGGCTTTGTGTAATTCTTCAGTTTTGAACTTGTGATCCATTTTCTTAACCCTTGGTTATTCCTTTGCAGTTGTTTTGGGATCACTTTCCAAGATTACGTACGTGGATTTTTATATATTTACTTTAAAACAAGGTTTGAGACTGTATATATAATTGGTGTTAATTAATTAAGTTGTATTGATGAGTGTGACACATTAACTTTAAATTTCTAGGGTTTGAATGACAGGTAGTGGTAACTAGTTGTGGGGTGCTCAACCATCAAATCGAAAGGAAAGGATTATTATTCCCATTTGTGTGCTAGGAATAAAAGCTTTTTAAAGTAATGTGTAAAAGGGTATAGGAGAAAACAATGAAAATGTTGCAACCACAATGGAAAGGAGAAGGCTCAAGCTTATCCATCAAATTAATGGAAGACCAAAGATATGATGAATTGGAGTTTGGGCGAGCATGCACTAGTAAATGGTGACTCCCTAACCGGAACCTCTGATTTGAAAGGTGTGGTTGGTAGAAACTGCAAAACCCTCAAATCACTAGCTAGATATGCTTGACATGACAAACTCAAGAGGAAGAAGTTATATATATACATGTTACCACAGGTATATATCTTGCATGCTTCCTGGTACAAGGAAATGTCCTCAATTTTCAGAAATTTAACTGCATCTTTTAATATACATGCAAGTTTGTTAAAAGTAAATAATATATGTATGGATAGAAGTTCCAAAATATACATAATTGGAAAGATTAAGAAGTAAAATTTAAGTTTAATCAACTTTATAAAATTAATTTATAAAATTAAATTATAAGATAAGTTTGTATTTATTAAATTAATTTTATATCTAATTGATGTAATATTTTCAACATTCTCTGTAATGTTCAAGAATTTTATGGCTGCAACGTCACAGTTTTTATTAAGTTCGATTATTTTAAAGTTGCAACTATCATTTTCTTTTTTTGCAAGGTATATATTCTATAAATATAACAATTATTTTCATTCCAAAATACATTAAAACCATTTCTCTCATCCTCTTATTTTATCATTCTCTTTTTTCTCTTTCCTTATGAGAAAATCTTGGTTTATTTTATACTCTTTTTAGATATCATTATTAGTTTTGAAATCCTCAGAAATTTCTGGAAAGTTTCTGTTATATCCTGAGGGACTTGGACAATACACAGTAGATAAATTTATAAGGACAGTGAAACTACATATATCAGGAAATACTGGTTTGTCATCTTTTATACAATAAACTTTAATTCTAGATGCTGTAATTTTAAATACTCTTTTTTTAAGTCTATGTTTAGAAAGTGACATTTGATGAATAAGGGACATATATATATATGTTAGTAATGGATCTTCTTAAAATTTGTTAGGTTAAACAATGTGACAGAAACAACACTACGGGAAAGCTGCAACAGAAGGGAAAGAAAACTACTGAACTGATAAGAATTAGAGTAAATGCAAATTTGTTTGATCACATTGAGAAGTTAAAAATACTATGCAGAAGTGTTTCATTAATTTGGTGAAACGCGTGGAACATTTTAGAGCATATATGCGTATTCGACCCACCTTCTTTAATTGGAGTTAATAACTGGGTCTCGTGCTTTTATATATCTTTCTCGATTTAAACAGTAAAACATTCAGTTGAAGCAATGCTCAGTAATCTCAAGATAACATTTTCAAGTTCTGTTTTTTATTATAATATTAAAACAGTACTTTCGACTGTTGTATATAGAATATCGACATAACATGTACTTCTTTCTCATTTTGTGTCCCTAACATAAATAACACAACTCAAAATCTTGCAAAGGACTCCAATTTCTCCAACATACCCGCAAGCACTCATGGAAGAAATTAATTAGGGTTACTCATAAAAGAAACAATAATTGCAAAATGCATTCTAACTAAATTCAACTTTTCATGAATATATATTTTTTGCCAACTTGAAAGTTAAAACCAGATAAGTTACTCTCTTTTTTTACATTTTAAATAATCTTAAACCTAAACCAGTTCTTATTTATAAGGAACGAACAAAAAAAAGTCATTTGTAAAAAGATGTATTCTTATTAAAAACTTGCTCCATTAAATTATTTATTTTAGTAAGATTTTTAAGAAGTATGTTTATGAGGATCTAATTTTGTTATTTTACAGAATATTCTTTTTGCACTGTATATCAATCAAAAGATATATATGTTTCACTTAGAATATTTATTGTTGTTTATAAAATTAAGAATAATCTCATAACTGTGGCTTAATGTAATGATGATTTTGAAATAAATTATAATTTATGCTATCATCAATTAAAAATAACTAAATATTTTTTCTTAATGATGTCAAAATGGGTTATCTGTGAGCCAACCCGGTTCACTACGGATTTGAGTCGGGTTAGGTTTGAAAAAAATGTAATTTTTTATGCGGGTTAGTTTTTAACCCGGCTCACTTAGAACCTAGGGCTCACCCAGATTGAACCCGTGGTGAGCCGGGTTGGTTCACCAACCCACCTAATTATTTAATTTAATTATTTTTTATTTTTTTATTTCAATATTATTATTTAGCATTTTTTTATTATATTGTAGATGGGATAAAAAGCAAATGTTTCAAGAAAGAAAAATATTATAGATTTATCTATTCAACACTCTAATATTATAGATGGACAAGTGATACAAAAATTATCAATATTAAAAACTTATTTGTTCATCTTTTGTGCTTATTTTTTATATTACGCTTAGATTGTATGATATATTTTTTTTTATTTTGAATTGTTTTTGGAGTTTAACATTAGTGTGAAATTTATTTATATTTGAATTACAAAAATTTATAATTTTTTTATTTTAAAAAAAGTCTATAATTAAGTGAGTCAGTAAACTCACCTGTTTAACCCACCAATCCATGGTGCGTCGGGCCGGGTTCGATTTTTTTCACCTCGCTAATAAGTGAGTCGGGTTGGGTTGGCTCACTAAGTGACCAACCGTGCTGGGTCGGGCCGAGTCGAGCCGCATTACCCATAGATATCAACTATTAAGTTTTCAGACCCATCTAAGGTTTAATTATTTTCTTTAGTTTCATCTTTTATTTAGTCTATTTTAATTTGATCCTACTGTTAATACAATATTGAACCGAGCGCCTACTTTTTTATAAAATACAATAGTTATTTTTAATTAGTGGTAAAATTGAGGAAATGAATATTGATAATTTTAATTTATGTAGAATACAATTTATAATTAACCACGTGAATCTTAATGTAACAAGAGGTTATATTATTATATTTTAAAAATCAAATAACTTAATTAAAACTTGTAAGGATTAAATTGGGGGATTCGATTATATATTTTATTTATAGAAAAACTCATTTAAATAAAATAAGTGAATAATATAATGGAAAGATAATTAATTCTTTCAAAAAATATTCAAATATTGATAGTTATATTTTGGGAACTAGTTCTTTAGGAGTATAAATATAAAAAAAGTAATATTAACTTTTCAAAAATTAAAATTGACTTATGTATCGGTATAAAAAGTATATATACGTGTTTCTAAATTTTTATTTTAAATCCGTATACATTAATTTTAACTTGTGGAAAGATATTTTTTTTATAAATTGTTATTAAAAATTCATCAAGGTAGACTTCCATTAACATTATGTATTATTAAATGAAATTTATTAAAAATCACAAATTTCGGAGAACCTCATTTTTAAACCCAAAAATCTTATAATATGTTAATTTTCATAATATATCAAACTTATAAAATTATTGAAAGATGAGTTTGTACTTTGTTTAAAAAAATCTAAGTAAATAATTGATTATGTTATACTGTATGTACATAACTATATATAATAAAGCCAACAACAAATATATTATAACATGTAATAGGTCGAACTAAAACTTCATATTTTAAAATGTTATTGAATACGGTGATTTGTAGATTGAGAAAATGTTATTGAATATCAGTATTATCTAACAGGTCAGTGCAGGAGACTTGGATTGTTGTGGTGCAGTGAGCAGAGCAGCCATGAAAAAGAGATTTTGATGAGATGTTAGAAAAAACAGCTAGATTTCACCTAATGCCAATCTATATATGTACTTGATTTAGCAGAGATAACTCTTTTTTTCTCCAATTCTTCAACTTCAATTAACCATTCGAAGTAAATTTCAGAAAGGTGTTTTTGTTAGGGAAGCAACTAAGGTTTTGATTTAACAGCATCTGATCTATATATGCAGGCTAGGAGGCCAGGCATTGTACTCAAAGTTAGTTTACTACTACAGTGTGATCTCCACAATCTGACCTTGGGATAAAGGAAATGTTCCCTGCTTCATTTTTTGCGTGCTACAATTTCAACATCTCACACCTCCACTTCATCTTTTCTACATCTGTTCATTTATGATAGGCCTGGAATGGTAAGAGCTGGAAACATAGGCACACCCTAAAAGGGAATTCAAGAACAGAGATTCTAGTTATACCCAAATAAACATTGCACTGTTACAACCTTTGGAGCTATATATTTTTGTTTTGTTTTTCTTTTCCAATGAGATTTGTCAGAAGCTATTGACACGTACTTCATAGAAATTTAGCCATTTTGTTTTTGTATTATTTGTAATACGAACCAAGGTGTTTGATATTGGGAATTTGAATATGAGAAATTGTTTTGATTTTAGTTGAATCCGCACCCGAAAGAGTGCTTATTGCGTGCTCTTTACTCTACACTTGTTCTACACTTGCGATATGTTCACTTGAATAAATTTGGAGGAGAGTGATTGAGGGGATTTGAAGGTAAATTTTGTTATTGTTTATTGTGGATTTGGAGGTAAGTGATAATGGATTTGGAAATAAAGTTTGTGAAAA